CTTATAACACCCTTTTGATCTGCCCGATTTTTATGGGCACAGTTCAAGGGCAACAAAAAATAGGTTTTTATTTTGTTTTTGTTTGCAAAGATTTACGCCAAGCGAAAGGCTTCTAATTTTTAGCTGTCTCAAGAACAGCACAAACAGCAAAACGACGACGGCGTCAACTTCATTAAAATGGATGTGGAATGGTTATGGCTATGGATATGGTTATTAATTAATGCATAGAGACTCGTGCCAAGCCGAGACGCCAACAGACAACGGCTGCGGCTACGGCTGCGGCTATTGCGATTATGTCTTGGACGTCGCCAAACTGCGACGGTCCCCTCCAACTGCGCCGTCTACCCTCTGCTCCACACACACATGCTGATGATGATACCAGTTTGCCTCAACCTTGGCGCGGCGACAACAACATATTTTTCGTACCCAGTACCAGTGCCAGTACCAGCACCGCCGACCCGCCGCCGCCGCTGAAGAGCACTTCTTGAGCCAACCGCTCATCTGCCTGCCGTCCGATCCGTCCGTCCGGTTCGTCCGCTCGTCCGATCCGTCCGTCCGTCCGTTCGGTACCATCGGTAGCAGCGGACGCACAAGATACGCGGATGCGAAAAAAGTGAATGTAAACCTAAAAAAACCACTTGATGACGTTGTCCGTTGTCCGAGCGCGTGACAGAACAATAAACTAGCTTGTTTTTTTTTTGGCTTTTTTGGGGTGTGGGGGGATTTGCGCGGAGCAGCAGCATGTGACTGGTTCCGAGTGATATTTGGGTCTGTTTCTTGTTTTCTCAATTTCTGGCAGGCTGCAGAGGAAGTGTAGGGTTGGCGTGGTGGGGGGGGATTGCAGCAAGCCACATTGCAACCGGCCATGACTTTGATGGACTTGTGTTGTGTTATAGATCTGACCGCATGAATGAATCTTTGCCATTGAACACTGCTGGATGACTGGAAAAGTCGTTTTGTAAATTCAATAGGGTTTTCAACATTTACATGTTTAAAGACGGCTTTTATTTTATTTTTGTGCAATGCACAATGGGCCAAAGGCGGCGGTTTTTGTGCAAAACAGATTTCTAGAGAACATTTCCAATGAATCAGTTCCTTAACGTTCCCAATATTTCAGTGCCGGAACCAGCGAGACATTTCTCAAATGCAGAACAATTTGGCCCCAGATAAAATGTAAGCTTGGCAAACATTTTCATGGACCAGTTTTATGACGCTTACATAACTTTTAATTAAGAGATAATTAATCTAAGCACGAGTCAAATTGTGCCTGCTACGCTCGCTACCTGTTGCCGAAGGGACGGGGCGGGCGAACAGCTCTTGTGTTTGCTGCGACCTTAGCACATGTGCTAACCCGCTTCAAGCATTTAGGTTTGTTTAATTTCATTTGGAAATGTGTTAAATGTTTGCAGTTGTCAATTTGTGTGACCTCTCTTTGGGACCGGCCGCTCGAAAGCAAATATAAATATTCATTTAGGCCATTTTTAGGAACTGTACGCAAACTTCCAAAGCTCAGCTATTAGCAGAGACACAAACCACGCCGCAAGCGCGCATGTTTCTATTGCCAGCTCGCTCTAGCACAGGCAGTGACTGCAGCACACAGTATAGCTGTGCCGCTCTACGACCAGCTGAAAATGCACAAAAAGTAGCTGCCTGAAAAGGCTGCGCGCCTGTTAAATGACGCGCGATACAACAAATCGCACTACACAAATTTACTGTCAATGTTTGAAAAGAGCAAACGTGAAAAATACGCTTGCAACTCGCATGGGATATCGTGTGTATGCATGTGTGTGTGTGTGCGCTGGGTTGCCCCTGTTGCATTATGCTAGCCGCGTTCGCTGTGCTCGCAGCGCGCAGAAAACGTGGCGCCCACTTGTTGCATGTGTATGTGTGTGTGTGTGGGGGTAACTTGTTTCTGCTTCTTGCCAGCCCTTATTGGGACAGAGACAAAAAGCCAATTACAAATACCGAATGCCAATTTAAGCCGCCGCCAATAGGCCTCGGCCCTATCATCAGCCATCGAATAAAACGGCAGGTAAAGGAGGCACTGTAATGGCCAATGCGATATGATTTTCCAACTCCACCCACATAATTGACAGCCCTGCATGCATACGCACACACACACCTACCCAAATATGTGTGTGTGTGTGTGTTGTGCCTGCGACCTGTGAAGGTCATGCAATTTATGGGTGTGCATGTGTGCAAAATTGTTCTCCAGCAAATTGTATAATAATTATTAATTAGGCAAGTGGGAAAACTTTTAAGGGCAAACAATTACAACTGATTGGCCAGAAACTACATGTGTGTGCGTGTCTATGTGTGTGTGTGTATACATATATACATATAGACATTGTTTAGCACTTAAAAGAAACGCCGCGCTCTTTTCACTATTTGTATCGAATAAAACAAGCGACTTGGTATTAATTAGCTTAATTTTAAAAAAAGAAGAAAGTTGAATTAATTAGAAAACAATTCTATAGACTGGGCTCATCAATAAATTGTTTGCTGTTTCTACGGAATTTTTATATGCAAAAAATTATTGAACAGTTTAAATATTTATTAATTAAATATTTATTGTCATTTGACGTAATTTATTACCCATTAAAAATGATGAATGATATATAAAAAACGAAGTACTCGATGTACATAATGCATACACCTGTATATGCATATATGTATGTATGTATGGATGTATTTATGGATGTATGCACTGTTTTGAATTATACTTTATAAGCCCACTGTTGAAGATAGGAACGGAGCTTAGGTATATTTATAATTTAATACTAATTGTTTTTAATTTAAAATAGCACAAATTAGCTTAACTTTCAAATCATGCACAACATAATTTATTGAAGTTCTTTTAAAGCAAAACAGCTACATTACAAATACGTATGCATTATTTAGGCCAATAGAGCAAGCTGGTAAATTCGACCTGGCTTTCAACTCCACCCACATAATTATAGAGCCTTCGCGTAAACGAAAACTTCACTTTGCAGCTGTTGCCAACAGAGTTAAGAACCAGAAGAAATTAATATAAAATGCAGGCTAAGCACAGTGTAGGGGAGAGGGGCTGAAGGGCAGAGCGCTATCCCAGTTGCCCAGCCATATCAAATGTGCGGGCCAGTTTTTGAGCTGATTACTGGCCATTGGGCCGGTCTTTATCCCTCTTTAAAGCATTTCTGGTTGGTCTGCGCCTGTCGCACCAGTCACAGTAACAGCTGACTGCCCGGCCGCTATCATTTAAAAACAATATAGCGTCACATACACACTCAGCGCTCGGTGTGTATGTGTGCGCGCGTAAGTGTTGAACGCGCCAAGCGACAGCAGCTGAGACGGCAGCCAATAAGAGTTGCCATCCAACTATATCATGGCGAGCACCTGTCGCTATTTCTGTGCGCCTGATGTTCGGTTTGTGCAATTCGACAACACAAAATTTTCGAAGTTCCACTGGGCGACGGCTCACCAACCAATAAAGCGATATTCCCATAGGCGTAGCAGGGCGTAATGTGCAGGGGATTTTAACTTTTCGTATTGCCTAATACACAAGTAAGATTTTGGGAAACGAAATAATGTTCTGTGCATTTGAATATAGGGCGTATTAAAATTGAGATTTCGATTGTGAAATTCATATATAAAAAATAATACTCTTGGCGAAATTGACATAAAAAAAAATCAAATCGATTATTGATTAATAAACTAACCAAAATAAATGATTATTTCTGCGAAATAATGAACAGGCCCCTTAATATAAACCGAAAAGGTAATAAGTATTAAGGGATTCTCTTGCTTATATCACAGAATACATTAAGCATACAATTTATTACATATTTATAACGCTTAATGGCAATCCCCCTGAGTGCGGCACTGGTTTTTCGTACAGAAACAACGTTGCAACCAACCACCAACCAAAGCAGCGGCAGCAGAAGGCAAAGGAAGGCACTGACTCAGCATGAAATTTCGTTTCTGCATGTGCGCCAGTATGTGTTTGTGTGTGTTTATCTCGGTGCATGTGTGCGTGCGTGTATGTGTGTGTGTGTGCGTGTGCGTGTATGTGTGTGTGTGTGTGCATGGGCCTGCCGGCAGGCGTGTATATGTATTGGCTTGTTGTTCGACTGTTCGATAGAGCATCGTCGCGCGTCTTTCGTTTGCTGGGCGCCTGGCTAAAATATCGGTAGTTTTGCTCGCCGCGTGACGATGGCGCGTGACTTGGACATCGTCAGTGATTGGAATCGGTATCGATAACGTGCTGCGAAGTCATTCACATTTACATTTCGAGTTGCGATTTTATTGTAATTATATAAATAATTCAATTGAATGGATTGCTTGTTATTTAAATATTTTGCCCCGGTATTCAGAGTATTCAGAGACTTTCTATTGACAAGGTCATCTACATATACTGGCATTGAATTGTTTAATTAGCTGTAAGTATACAGTTATTGTGAAGAATACTAATATGCACTTACATGTCTTTCAATATATTTACCATACGCTGATCTCGCAACGAGCAGATTGTATTATGAGGGTATATGATAACCATGGGTCCAAGAGAGAAAAGCTGTCTCGTTTTTATTCAGAAAATCACGATGTGATTTACCAATTCCGAATATCTTCTCTGCTAGATATACTTGCTAAATAGAGATGTACATTTTTCTAAGGGGGGAATAAACTTGGCCTTGTATTTATGCATGTTGTATATTCTCTGATACTAATCGCAGATCAAGATTACTTTCCAATGCGCTGAAAATTGTAAGAAAATTGTTCTTGAGTATTGCCCTACTATGCGAATCTCATGAGTGCAAGTAAGCCTCACACGTCTTAAGGCTTTGATTGAGCACACAAAAAGTATGTTGCCCTACAATTCAAAGGTGACAATGAAACAATCGTCCGTGACTTGGTGCATTCGTGTTCACGCACGAACACGAGAAGCACGACAAATGGCCTTTACGCGCGGAGCAGGCACTAACTTTCCTACTTTGACAAATCGTTAAATAAAAGAATGCATATTTATTCGCTAATTTGTTTATTCTTCACATATGTATAATTTATATTAATTTCTTGTTTTTATTCCCATCGTATTTTGCACACTCTGTTGCATTTGTCATATGTATGTATGTCCACTTGAACCCCGCTGGCAAATTGTAGCTTTGCCAGGCTTTATCGTATTTAATCATAAAACTTATTTTAAATATGTTTCAATTCTTAAATTCAATTGCTTTTACTTTTTAAGTTTGTTATTTTTTTGTTTTTGTTTTGTGTGAAATAGAAAACTATTATATTTTCTTTGTTAATTGAAATAGTTCTTGAGTTATTCAATATGTTTTTTGTTGTTGTTGTTTTTGTTTTTATTGGCTATCAATATTTTGGCTTTTTGGGTTGATCGATGCAACTATCATATGTATGTATGTAATTATGTATATATTGCTGTATGTATGTTTGGATGCTTGGACATGAAACTTAAAGTTGTATTTGTTTCGTCTTGTTGTTGTTGGTTCATAAATAGACTTTGTTCAACTTTCATTTATTTTCTTTCGTTTTTTTTTGTTGCAAAAAGGGACGGTAAAATTACAATAAAATCATTTTGAAATATGTATTCATGCATCTCTTCAGCTCTACAAATTTCATCATAAACAATTTCTATAGGCAACTGACAAATCTCAGTTAATCTCTGTGTATGTGAGTGGACGATGTGTGTGTGTATATGTGTGTGAGTGTGTCTTAAATATAAATTCAATTTAATGGCTCGGTAAATTTACATAATATACGCACTTGTATATTTTTTAATTTTTTTTCTTTCTCAATTCTTCATTACAACAAAACATATTGAAACACAAATTGATTTTTGCCATTTAAGTTGCGATTAAAATGTGCTGTGGATAGTCACTACTTTTTGTGTTTAATTAATTAACTACTTTACTGATAATAATAATAATATATTAGTTTAAACTTTAACGCTTTGTTTTTGTTTTTTTTTGTTTTGCTATTTTATGTTGGTTAAGCTGCTCGTTAGTCATAAATAGAGTATTCTATTTTTAAAGGCTTCATTCCTAGGCAAAATAAAAAGAGCTTGTTGCTGTTTATTCAAATAAAATGCAAATCGAGCTTAACTCATTGCTTGAGCTTTTGCTATAGCAATAAGTGATATAAAAATATAATAATATGATATGGGGCTCAATCAAATTAAAATCAATTCTTGCTAAAAAACGTTTCTTAGTGGTAGATTTTGTTTTTTTTTTAATTGTTTTTTATTAATTAAATTAAATAATAATGCACAAATTATAGACTATTTCAGCAGCTAAGTAAACAAAAACTTGGTTTTTTTTATATATTTTGATTGCAAACAAAAATAAATTTACTACAATTTCAATTGAAGGTAAATACAAGAAAAATCCGTCTTTAAGACGCAGCCCAATTGCTACACATCGTAGAATAGTTGCTTTCCATATTTATATAAATATAGTATGTATGTAAAATTTACATTTTCTTTTTTTTTTTTGTGGCCACATTTTAACTCCCATTATCTTGGGTTTTTTGTAGCTGCCCTCCCCCTAGACAAGGGTTTCTGTTTGTTCTTTACGTACAGAGTTTTGAAAAAAATACTTATATAGTTATCAGGCCAATTAATACATGGGTTTTTCATTTGCCAATTATCTGCTAAATCTTCAAACATCATCATATCAAAAAATTTTGTTTCGTTTTAGTTTTTTTGTTTTTCTTTTTCCTCATTCTTTTGAGTTCTGCTTGCGCACAGCGTTGATAACAAAAATCAAACAATCAACGCGAAAAGTTAACAAAATTCAACATAAATCGAACTAAAACGTTATTGAATAAATATATGTGTATGTGTTTTGTATATATAGAAAAATACAATTATTTACGTTAGTTTCGATTTGTTTTTTGTTGTTTTTCTTTGCATTTTCAAAATTTTTAATTAAATTAATTGGACGTTTAAGTAACTAACCGTTTAATAACCGTTTGTTGCGTGATTCGCCTAACACAAAAAATCTTTCGTCTAACTAAACTCTCAATAAATACAAATAGAAACAGATACAAATAGATAGTTATCGTTAATATAGGATAGACCGTAGCTATAGCATCGTTCACAAATACATTTGCAGTATTTTCTCCGTATGTGTGTGTGTGTCTGTCTGTCTGTTTGCGGAGTGGGTGGTGGTTTATCATGTTGTCCAACGATACTCCCAACGAATTTACAACTTAAGCAAAGTATAAACCAAAGCCAAAAGCTTACGCTGCACGCTGATCTTATGTTAGAAGGGATTCGCATTGCTGCTCGCCGGATTTCTGTTGGAGGGGCGCGTGCTGAATGAGGATTTGCCGCTGGTGCCGCGCTGCGGTGGCATCGGGCGACGCACATGACGCATCTCGCTGTGGCAATTAAAGAAGGTATCGATTATTATTCAACTTCAGGCAGTATAAAAAGTTAGTTGGCAGCTTTTTAGGGGTTTACAAACATTTTACAACCATTTTACTTTTATTATTAGTACAAAACTACACTAATTTTATATTTAATTTTATATTATTTCTGAGCTTCTATTTCTCAATTTCAACTCCAAGCTTGGGTTAGGCATTTTCCAGCAGCAGCGACAGCAGGTTAGCGGGGCGCACATGCAAACACGATTTGTCGCATGCAAAATGCTTACCAAGTGCTGATTGTTCGGGGGGTTTTTTTTTTGTTTTGGATATTTTACAAGGGGTATAACTATAGACTTTTGATAGGGTTTGTGTTGCGCTGCTTGCTTTAGCGACCCAAATGCACCCACCGATCCATTTCCATTTCCTCCAAACGCTGCGTGAGCGCCAGCTTTTGTTGCACGGCCAAGCGCAGCAGCTGATTGAGCGTTTTCTTCTCCTCCTCGGCAGCCTCCAGCTGGCGATTCAGATCATCCACCTGGGTCACATACTCCTCGCAGCGTGCGGCGAACATGGCGCGCAAGCCTGGTCGCAAAAATAAGAGAAAGTCAGGTTGTTAAGTTAGGCATCGGAAATTACTCTAGTTAACTTACTTGAGAAGGTGGCAGCATCCTCCTTGAGCAGTCGGAGCTCATTGCGCAGCTTGGACATGGTATCGCTGACAATGATTTTTTCGTTCTCATACTTGGACTTTAGATTGGTGAGTGCCACCTCGGCGGTTTGTTTGTTTGACTTGAGCACATTGCGTAGCGTTATAATTTGCTCGCGCTTCACGGACAACAAACTCTTGAGCTTGACAATTTGCTCCTGCAGCTCCTCCACCTCCTCGGTGTTGCCCTTCTCCACAGCTGCAAAGAGAAAGATGGCTGTCAGATAGGGATGTCCTCTCCTAATTGAAACTGTGATCACTTACATTCACCACCCTCGACGCGCACTTTGTGCTTGTTCAGATCGATAGTGTGCTCGACGGCGGTTTTCAGATGCTTGATCTGATCGCTGACGGTGTCCACATACTTCTTAATCTCTACCGAATCGGCCAGACCCTGCAGATCCTCAACAATTTGCGGGCGTGCTGTGAGAACATCCGACTTGAACTGCGACTGGATAGCAGTCAGCGAATCGTTCTCAAAGCTGGCAAGGGTAAACAATTAAGAATTAACATAGAATTTAGACAGAGATATTGATTTGTACACAACCTCATGTCATCGCTCTTGTGATCCAGCAGGACACGTGAAGGCGTCTCACCGTTCACCGTGCAGACCAGATGATACAACTGCGCCAGATCATCGCTGAGCGCCACCAGAGTGCTGCGCGCCGAGCCCAGGCTCTGGCCCGCATTCTGTGAGATGTGCGTCAGGGTCTGTACATCGCACTGCAGATCCAAAGATTTTTGTTCGGTGGAGAGCAGTTTGTTCTTCAGATTGGTGACCTCGTTCCGCAGGGTGGTGGTTGCGTCCGTATAGTTCAGACCCTTCTGCAGCTCAGCAATGTCAGTCTTGAGGCCGTCTATCTCCTTGGCGGAGAGCGTAAACCAATTGGCATACTGTGAGATTAACTGGCGCAGCTGTTGTTGCAGTTGTTCGTCCTTTGCCTGCCCACTGGCCGTCTGATCCTTGACGTCAATTTGTTTCTTTAGCTGCACCAGCGCATCCACATGGGCGGCGAGCAGCGCCAGGCGTGACATAAAGTTTTGCAGCTCATTCTGTGACTTGTCCAGGCTGCTCTGCGCCTCACGCAAATTGGTCGTTAGATGGGCTTTCTCGTTCTCCATGCTTTCCAGCTGTTTCTCCAGCTTCTTCAGCTCGTTCAGATGGATCTCGGAGAAGAGATCGCATTTTGTGCCATCTGGCGATTTGAGCTCTGTGCTTAGGTCCGCCTCGAGGCGTTTCAGCGCAAGATTCTCCTCTTCGCCGTCCGAATTATTGCTGGCATTGTCCTCCATGTTGCTACGTATGCTATAGGCCAAATTGCTAATGTGATACATGGACTCGCGATTCAGGTGACCATCCAGCTCCTTTTTCAGCGCATATTTGGCCTCACGCTCGCCCTGAGTATGGAACGGAAAGAGCAACAGTTAACAAATAGGAACTTAGATATTATAAAATGATTCCCCACACACCTGCAGTGCCTCCAGCGCCTCCTCCATTTGCTTCTCGGCAATCTTCTTGAGATTCGCCAGCTCATCGACCTGTTGATTCAGCAGCTCCAACTCCTCGGTGAGTCGGCGTATCTCGTGTTTGGCACCCTCGAACTCCACCTGTGTGAGGCAAAGCATTAATAGTTAGGCACAGCTGAATGGACATCTAGCATTCTTGAGCACTTGCCTGCGAACTTCTCAGGCTGGAGACCTGCTTCTGCAACGATATGTTCTCCTCCTCCAGCTCAGAGTACTCGCTGAGCATGCGCGTCTCGCGAAATTTCAAATCCTTTAGCTCGGATTTGAGACGCAACCGTTCCGCCTCATTGTCGCTCTTATCGCGTCCAATATCCGAGTTCTCCTGCAGCATTCGATCCCGTTCGTTGCGCACACGTTCCAGCTCATGACGAAGCTGCTTGATCTCATTCTCCAGATCAAGTATTTGCAAATTGAGCGATGTTTCGCGAGCGGCCGACTCATTCAGCAGCGTCTCCTCCTGCTCGATGCCGGTCTTGTTGGTGACCTTCTGTGAGGTTTGGAATTTGGTCAGCGCCTGTAAAGTGAGCAAAAAAATGGGTTAGCAAATATGAAAAAGAAAATATAATTAAGTTTGCATGACGGCGGAGATACTATGTAATGCGGCTATAAAAGATATCTTTATAAAAATAAAGATATCTTATATAAAAGCTATCTTTAGAGGGCAGAACATGTTTTATATGGATCTCCTACAAGCTGCAGGCGCTGTCCTTTGATCTTGGAAGACTGAATATTTTCTGATTCCTAACGTAAAATCATAATAGGTGGTTTTCTTAATTTAGAGCAGCCCACCTTCTAATTATGATCTTTATTTTCAGAAAATAAAATGGTCTTAAATTTTTAATTTGAATTTTTAATGCTTTGGACGCTTTGAATTTTTAAATCATATTTTTTACCCTTTTTTTCTGAACACTTTTTAGTACATATTTTTCGAAGACCTCTTGAAATTGGTATAAAAAAAGCAATTTTTAAAAAAAATAATAAAATAATATAATATATATATTATATAATAATAATAATAAATAAATAATAATACAATTTTTGGTTTTTGTTCAGCGATAGATTTTTTTTAAATTGAAAAATTTTTGAAAATTATAACAATTCTGAAATCCCAAAAATTTAAAATATAATAGATTTTATGATTATGATAATGATCATTTAATAAGTTTCTTTTCAAGTTAAGATTTTCTGGAAATTAAAAGAATAATTTCCGTACTTTTAAACACATATATCTCAAAAAAATGTGCTAGGAAGGGGTACAAGAAGTCTATCAACTAATTGTTTAAAATAAATAAAAATATAATAATCCAAGTAGGGTAAAATTCACAGCTTTATCTTAATATTATTATTTATTTTTTGATTTTATAAAGTTAACTAGCTGCAAAAGTAATATGTTTACCAGACTCTCCCTGCTAATATGCACCTACATCTTTTTCTCTTTTTCAACATTTTCTATAATTCTAAAATAAGTTTAATAAAAATGTATTTATCAGACTACACCTACATCTTTCGCTCCTTCAACTTTTTCTATAAACTATACAAACTTAATATACCCTTACCCTACCTCTCACTCCTTCGCCATGTATCTGCCCACGTTTCAGGGGTATTGCAATCATAAAAGTTGCCAGCCTGCCATTTTTATTGCAGTCATTTGCATGTGTAAGTTGTGTTGGCGGCACGAGCGGGGAGAGGGGCAGGGGCAGGAATGCCGGGGCAGTGCCAATGGGGGGCGTCAGTCACTGGGGAGCTTTGCTTGTGCTGCCGACGCGACGCCCCTTCATTTCACTTTGTTACATTTTTCATTAAATGGCGCAGATATTTTTTCTTTTTGGCATTTTTCCTTTATTACAGATCTCCCAGCGGAGGAGCAAATGCATCTGAAAGTTGGATTTACTTGTTGGCATTTATTGGATTTTCTTGTTGTTGTTGTTGTTGCTTAATTGCACCGGCCAGTGTTGCGAAATGCGTCATAGACGCGCGTGCATGTTAAGCTTAATGGGCGCAGGACACGCCTAGGACGCGGCAAGAGGTAAATATGTATTTATTATATACATGTGTGCACTCAGAGAAAAGAAGTAGTCGAAACTTTGAAAATTTAATATTTACTTTAATTGTTAGGTAGGATAAATATAAAAAAGGAAATGTTCAAGTACAAGAAAATAAAATATGTGAAAATTTGTGTGAATTTTGATTTTAATAGAGGTTTCTATTAATTTTGATACACCCAATCGATTGGGAAAGAAAATGTTTATATTAAAAATTCCTTAAGCTTTGATGCGGAGTTGATCTAAAGCACAACTTCAGTTTAAATTGTCTGCAATCCTGCAAATCTAAAAAATGTTTCAGTCTAATACATCTTTTTCTAGCAGTGTACATGCTATACCAGCCAAGCCTGCGCCTGTGCCTTTGCCCGTGCTGGCATAAATGCCGCTGATTGAAAGCAAACGACGTGTCCATATGGCCAGGAGCAGGAGCAAAGAGATTGCAACTGGGGTGTGGCTGAGCTGTAATCGTGTTTTGTGGGCTTTAATTGAAATCTCGCCGGGGTAGTCGTTAGGTTTTGTCCGGCCGCCATTTGAAGTGTACGTGCTTCACAGGCACAGAAAACATGAGAGCTGCCGACGGCCCACTTGAAAAAGTCGCCACAGCAAATGACCACAAAGCGAGCTGAAGAAGCCCAGAGGGAAAGTGCTGGGCCAGATTTTGTGGATTACTGTGTGCAGTGCTCCAACTATTGGAATACTTTTAAATGCAGCTGTAATTAACAATCTTTTCTTGGCTACAAAAAAAAAAACAAACAAACAACAAGCTGCTCAACCCACTTAACACGCCCCAAAATTGAAACGGAAATAGCCTGAAAAGTCCTGCAGCCCCCTTTTGGCCACTTCACTATCCCCCTTCTCTATCCCCTACCCCCTTCTTCCGTTCGCTTTGTGGCCGTATAATTATTGTCAATGGCTGTGGGCGACGTCAACGCTCTTATTCTTATTCTTTTAGTTTTATTATACCCGAAACCCATTTGAAATGTTTTAAAAGGGTATATTGCTTTTGTATCCATAAATTTAACAGGCAGAAGAAATCATATTCAACCCTGTAGAGTATACAGGTTCTTGATCAAATTTTAAAGATTGTTTATTCTTCTTTATCCTAAATATTCGATACTTCCTGCCATTACCATAGTAATCGATTTTGAGACAAACTCGAGAATTATAAGAGCTAGATACCTCAAACTTGGTATGTGGCTTCTCGAAAAATTTTATTAGTTCAAGAATGTTTTTACCTTTTGGTTATATCCTTAAAATCTGTCCGAATTTTGGCAATAAAACTCCATCTGAATTATATTTTTATACATTAACCTTAGTATGAGGCTTCTCTAAGAATATTCGCACAATTAAGGATATTTCACATTTTGGATACCTCCCCAATTTATCCGAAATTAGAAAAAACAAGCGCATTCCTTAAGGTAGACTTTTGCGTTTTGGTATGCACACAATTTTGTATGTCATTTTGAAGCCCTATGAATTTCATTAGGATCGTACTATAAACACCGAAAGTTAATGAAGAAGGTTTTCCCATACATAGAGTGGGGCAAATGGAAGAAGTAGCACAATCATGTGTAAAAGAAAGCAAGAATGTTTATAGCACCAGCTCGGTACTGTGTTCAGGGCATCTACCAGGCGGGCACACCCGACTAGAGCAATTTTTATTTTGTTTTCACTTCGTCATTTCAATTTGAGAAACCAACACGGAGCCCCGGCTCCAGAGGCAAGTGCATTTCGTTAATTAGTGTGGATGAAAGGCAATGCGAAGCAAACAAAAGGCCAAGCCAGTCGCAACTAAGCTGGAAATTTGAGACCTCTAATGCGCTCGCATTCAGCCAAGCAAGTCTCAGTGGCGCCACCTAGGCTAAATATATATATATTTATATATATATATATAGAATATATATATTCCCTTTATAAAAGTGTCAACCCGAATGTGGCTGCGGATCAAAAATGAAACAAAGGATTACGTTCTTTGGACAGGCCTTATAATGAAATTTGAGCCGCTGCTAAAAACTATTTTAACTCTTTATTTTAAACGTTTCTTTATTGGTAAACATAAAACTAAATGGCGTCATCCAAATTCTGAGGTAGTCTACGTTAAGGTAAGGGGAAAATAAATATCTAAAGATTGAATTAGAAGTCGGAGTCTATGAAAGTTAATACACATTAATAATCTTTAAAATCGATAAACATCGATTGCCGATAATGAAAACCAATATTTTATATGATATCGATAATTATCGATTTTTTAATTTATTCACTCTTATAGTAGGTAGGCATATAGGTATATATAGTATAGTAGGTAGCCTACTTCATTAAGCGCTGTTCAGGTTAGATTTAGTTTCAGTCCAAGCTAGAACTGAACTTTTGGAAACAATAATGAAAGGGTAAAGGGCGATGATCAGACGCAAAGTTAAACTTAAGTTTAAGCTCATAAACACAAGCGCCAAATTGTGGATAAGTCTGACAGAACTCTAAGCGCCAAACTTACAAATTCCAATCAAATTCAAATTCACAAAACGAATAATAGTGTTTTATCATATTTAAACTCGAAGCAAAAACTTAGAAGCTTTTGTTGTCTGCATTCTCTGCAAATTCCGAACAGTTTATGTACTGGCGCCATCTATGCGTCAGAGCGGGCAACAGTTAGCCGCAAAAGCCACAATAGATGACACCAGAACATGAACTTTATGCAAATTAGAAAAGATTTTTAATTAAGTCCAGCAAATATTAACACAGTCGTGCCGAGGCGAGACGAGGTGTGGCTGGGCACAGGACTCGACCAAAGCATTTTAGGTGTGTTCCATCGTTAAACCAACTGTCTGACACAATGTGACGCCACATCCAGCCCCAGTTGGACATTGCAACGCACAAGCGTTGTGTTTGCGGTTGAATTTGTTAGGCAGCCGGCAACTAAATGGCCCAAATAAAGCTGCCCCGGCACGGACCACGGCCCGCATTGACGTGGCAACAGCTGGCATTGCAGTGCTCCCGGTTGCCCCGGCTACTAAAAATAGAGCAGATTGCCCACATTACGACAACGGGTAGCGGCCTTATGGAGGCACTACGTGCGCACAGAGGTAGCCAAAGCGGGCAATGGCCAACTCATAACAATTTCCTCCACCACCCACGTGGCCCCACATAAACCGCACGCCCCACACCCGCCGCCGTTGATAAAGTATGCCATGAATGACTGAGCAGTTTGTTTGGGGAAAGCGACAATGACGACCGCATCAGCCACACCAACAGCTGAGAATTTGAGGATACCCTGTAAACAGTCTATCTCGTATTAGGCAGTGCATATATATCCCTATATTAGGAATGAGTTTCTGGATTCTAGATTAAGATGGATATCGCCTTATTGTGGCTTTCTCATCTTCTATAAAATATACAATTGTATATATTTTTTATCGCTTTCTTATCTTCAATCGGAGACTAACTTCTTTAATAGGGTATAGGCAGGCATGTTTTT